ACTTAACCTATCCATGCATATATGAATATTATATCAAAATAATTCTAAAATTTTTTTTTCTCGATTGTTTCATTTTCTTAATTTCTTCGTCAATTTTCTTATATTTGTCTTTTAGTCCTCTCATTCCTTTACATAGGGTTATCTGTTTTTACAAATTCCTTTTCTGTTTCTTTTATCTTTCTGTTTTTGATCTTCTTTTTAATCTCATTCTGGTCTTTTCTCTATCTACTCTCTGTCTTTGTCCTATCTATCTATCTATCTATCTATCTATCTATTTATCTAAGATTGTTCCATTCTATCTATTATTCATCTATCTATCTATCTATCTATCTATCTATCTATCTAAGATTGTTCCATATTATCTATCTATCCATCTATCTATCTAAGATTGTTCCATATATATCTATCTATCTATCCATCTTTCTATCTATCTATTGGTCCAATATAGATTGTTCCAATCTTTTTCTATCTATCTATCTATATAAGATTATTCCATATCTATTCATCTATCTAAGATTGTTTTATATCTATCTATTTATCTATCTATTATCTATCTATCTATCTATCATCTATATATAAGATTGTTCCATATATCTATATATCTATCTATCTATCTATCTATCTATCTATCTATAAATAAAGATTGTTCCATATATATCATCTATCTATCTATCTATCTATCTATCTATCATATCTTATATTTATCCAATCTAAAATTATTAAATGTAATTATCTATCGCTATATATATATCTATATAAATTATTTATATATCTATCTATATATCATAATCTATCTATCTATTTTATCTATCAAATCTATCTCTCAGATCTGATTTTATTTTTCTCAAACTAATAAAAATTATAAAATTAAAATCTATTTACGAAAGACAACAATAATTTTTCTTCCATCTATATTTTATTTCTTTAATATAATTCAACATAATGAAATTATATAAATTTTATTGATATTTATAGTATATTAAATAATATAACCAAATAATTCAGATAATTATAGAATTTTAAAAGGCCGGGTAAAGCCGAAAGTAATTATTTGTATAAATTTTTTTTTTCAACAAATACAAACCTTTTTTAAAAAAATAACACTAATTTTACATTACCCAATCTTTTCCAACATTTTTATCATTTATTTTTTAAAAAGACTTTTCGTAATCTATCTGGAGATTGTATGTAATCATTCACCAAAGGGCACATCATAAAGAAATTTGTTGATAATTCAAATAAACTTAAACCACAAAAATTTTATATTTTTTATTATTTTTTACATCTGTTGGAAATTTAACAAATGCATAAATATGATTTTGGAATAATTTTGTTTCAAATAAAACCGTAGAAATCAAATTCGACAATTGATTTCAAACTAGTGTTCACAAAGAAAAAAATCAATTTAACCAAAACAAAGTACATCTTAATGAAATAAGTTGTGATATTTATGATGATAAAAAATATATTTAATTTTTTTTTAAGCATTACGCCCCAAGAAAAAAAATTTTAAACCACTAGGATGCAAAATTTGCGGAAGATTTGGAATTTTTAATTACATTTAGGAGTGATAGAATTGTTTTTGAGGAGAAGGATAGTGGGTAGATCAAGGTAAATAATTGTATGTCGATTGACATTACATTTGAATAATTGGAGATTATAACTTTCAGGGAAACAGTAATTGGGGGGGTGTTCCACTGGCGAAAAGGTGCGAGGTATGAAGCTATTGGAGTTTTTGAAAGTTTTCTTTTCTATCTCAGGATGCCAGCCTCGTAGGGCGCTTGAATTCATGGAGTCTGGGGAACCAGTCTTAAGCAGCTGTCGTTGCAATTACTATGAAAGTATTTGTAGAAAAAGATTTATTTTAAAAAGGCGACGGCGCGTCTGTGAGAAGATGACTGCAGACAAGACGCTTTATTCATTCCAATTATATTACATATCCGTCTCTGGATCTTTGTCAAGAACTCAGGTAAGCAGAAGGTGCTTTAGGCCAATATGACAAATTCCATTAAAGGGCGAATGGTTTTTTTGTATATTTGGAGTATCGATTCAATTCAGAAAATTTCCTGTTAGTTGAAAGAGCCAACTTTCCTCTTCAGTGGAAGAAGCAATTGACTCAATGTATTTGTTCCATCTTTACAGTCAGATATCAACGTTTTATTACTCGAGCAAACGCAGAGAGTTGCTCTCCGGAATTTATGACTATTAGGCATTTTAATGGGGATAAGAAATGATCTCTATGGTGGTTAATGGAAGTAATTTAAAAAAAAAAGGCGTTGAAATCTTTGACCAGCCAATTTTTTTGATTTTAACAACTGACTGGAGGTCTAAAAAGACGCAAAGCCCTTAGTTTTGTTCGACACTAGATTTGTTTTTGAGGCAGGGGTGAATTATTTAAAACAACAACTGCGTTTTGCCAAAAATTTTTAATCTTTTGGAAGTCATTGATGAAAAAATAAGGAAAAAATAAAGGCCAAAAATGGAGCCTTCCAAAAAAAAAAATTCATGATATAGGATTTGGAGGAGAATCCGTTTAGAACGACCTGAATTCTCGGTTTGAAAATTCAAATTTTGATTGTATTAATGATCAAAGAATTGAAGAACGACAGTAACACCATATCCTGAGCTTATGAAGAAAAAAAATATCTGACAAAATCTATCGAATGATTTGGAGATGTCGAGGGCAATTTGAAAAAAGGCGATTGCAAAAAAAAAAATTTTTGAAGGGCAGGTGGATTTTGAAAAAAGGTGATGGCTTAATAGACATTACATCAGCTTACAGATCTGCTCGTTCGGAATTTGATTGCTTGTTTGAGAGCAGAAAATTAAATGTAAACAATTAAATAATTCATTGATTAGGGCTTCAATTTTTTGCCGAAATAGGGCTCGAAAATAAACGGTAATTAGAAAGGTTTAGGGGTCTCAAGAGTTTTTAAAAAGTTTAAACAATGGATGAGGACTTCCAATGAAGTCCATTTCGTTATATATATTTTATATCATATTAATTATATAGTTTAGAGATAATGAGGAAAATAACCATTGTCCCATGATATGAAGATGTCAAATTTTATATATCGAATTTGCACTCCATGTATTTTGTTCTAATAAAAAGAAAATATCTGTTCTTGGGAAAGTATTGAGTTTAGCATCTTTCTTACAATTTTATACATTTTCTGAAGTTTATTTCGATATCGTAACGTTTTCGGGTCTCAGCTATAAAGGTCTGAATTTGTTTATTAAAAGTAATCCATTTTGGCATCATTATCTTATTTTATATATATTCTATATATATATATATAAAGTCTGGTTCATTTCTTCATCATTCAGTCTATCTATTTTTATAGCTATGATCTGTTGTCCGTGACATTAATTTCATTTTTATATTATCTATCTATTTATCTATCTATACACACACACATCCACAATACACACACACACACACAAACATTTCACACACACACAAATTTACATATATATATATATATATATATATATATATATATATATATATATGTAAAATCTATATATATATATATATATATATATATATATATATATATATATATATATATATATATATATATATATAAAATAAAAACGTGTATCATTTCATGTTATTTATCGTAAATTGTTAATCACTATATTATTTTTTTCATCTATCTATCTATTATTTATCTATATATCTATCTATCTATCTATTTTAAATTGAACTTTTTATATGTATGTTTAAAATCAATTTTAAAAAGAAATAAAATAAAAATGTCATCCTTGAAAAATTAAATTTTTAAAAGAAATTGAAAGTAAATATTAAATTGAAATTAAATTATTTAGAAATTGTTAATTGTATTATTATTCATTCTTATTATTAATTATTATGTAATAAAATTAAATTGATGTGAATTCAAAGTTTTGCTTTTTTTTCAAAATTATTTTATATATTCCATATTTTATTACATAACGAACGTAAATTAATTCTTGTATTTAAAAAATCTTTCAAAAAAAATATATTTAATATTAAACTTTATTTGAAAAATATTATTTTATGATTTGAAGTATAATTAATCTGATTTGAAAAAAATATATTTACTTTCAGTTTAAAATAACAGAGAAATGAATTTTAACAAACAGTAGAATGATTACGCAAAATGCAAAAAAAAAAATTCATTCCTCACTTGTCACTCGTCGATCACTTAACAGGCCAGAAGGTGTTGACGTTTTTCCCCAAGATTTTTAAATAAACATCTAATAAAAACATAATTTAAAAAAAATGACCGGTGCGCTTTTTTTTATATAATTTTAGATACAAAATAATCTTTTTAAATATATGAAAAATTCTCCATAATCCAAATCTAGTAATGTTTAAAATTATTTTATATCGCTCTTATTTTTAAATCCTGATGTCGATATAAAGTTACAAGTACTTTCAAACATGGCATGTATAATAATATTTTATATGTATAAAATAATTAAAATTATTCTGAAAATCTTGGAGTAATCCCCCGTATATTAATATATTTTTCATCCTGTAAATATAATTGTGACGTCACCCCGGCTCTCTCTGCCACCGTGCTATCCTGTGACGACCAATGTGACTTGGTATTGGTCGCGGCACCAAATGTGACGTTCTAACCCTTTGCTGATTCGGATGGGAATCTGGTTAGATTCGGTATCAGCTTTGTCGTTCCCAGTTCGCCTCCAACGTCTGGTTACCGAAGTAACTGCTTTGATTTCTAGTCTAACCTACCCACGTTGGGATTTGATCTTAGGTAGACGAAATCAATCAGTCGCCGGGCCGTAATGCAAGCCGAATTCGAGCAAAGGTGACACCGCACAAGTATATGTAAAAAAAAAATAAAGTAACAACTCGAAAAGTTCAAATGTGTTAAAAAAGAATAACAAATATTTTTATATCTGGTTGCTGAATACAGGACTGCGTCTTTCTCCCAAACCGCTTCTATGGATTCGTGACACTTTGCGTTTGTTAGGCGAGTCTTAATATC